TGTGAAGATTGACAGCCTTGGAGACCCTGTGGGCAGTTCCACTCTGTCCTCTAGGGGCGCTGTGGGTCAGAATCGACTTGACAGCAATGGGTTTGATTTTTGTTTTTTTTTTTATAGGAGGAGAAAAGAAGAATAAAGAGTAGGACAGGATTAATTAAGGAAAAGGAAAGCAGTGAATTGATTTCCAGAACAGGTGGAAAATCCCGGTAGAGGGGTTCCCTCCTTGGTCTCGCAACTGGGCCCAAAGCTGTTGCTTGTAGTTGTGGCTTCCATCCTTGGGTTTCCCTCTTGTCCCAGGTCAACACTTCATCTGGTTGAGGCGCTTTGCCCACTGGGGTGACCCCAAGCCTTCCTCTTTAGTGGGCTTCGTGGTTCAGCTTGTAGAGTCTTTAGTAGGTTATTGGATTCTAAGGCCATTTGCATGATGGGGCTGACAGTGGCGGCCTTCATTCCATGAACAGCCGCCCTCCTTCTCTTACTGAGGTGACCTCCTGGTGTCATGGGAAGCAAGTTGTCACCAAAGCCTTCTGCAGGAAAAGAGACTTGTCACTGGCATCAAATAAAGGGGGGTGGGGGGAACCAGGTTTGCTGGTCTGATAGAGCCTGGTGGAACCACTGAGACTATGGCTCCTAGCTGCCCTTCAGGTCTGGAATTGAACCCACGCCTGTAGCTTCCAGCCAAACAAAAGACAGGCATAGGAGTTGAACATTTACCTGAGGTAGATACGCTCCTTGGAGAGAATGATCATGGGAGAAAGAAGGGCTGCTTATGCACAGGGAGACAGCTCAGGGGGCAGGAGGGCATGGTGGGATGGACACAGGGAAGAGGTAACTATCGGGAGGAAGTGGGAGGGGAGCTGTTGCAATGTGGTAAATTGCAGTCAATGTCATGAGACTGTGTGTGTGTGTGTGTGTGTGTGTGAACTGCTGTATAGAAAGTGAATTTACTCTGTAAACTTTCACCCAAATCAGAATAAAAAGAGAGAGAGAGAGAGAGAGAGAGAGAGAGACTTGTCATTGGGAGTTAGCAGAACAACAGAAGGGACGAAAGGGAAGTTGGTAATGGACAGACCGAGATCCAAGAAGCAGAGTAAGTAGGTGTTTTCGTACAATTTTGACAAGTGCTGGTAACTGTGAGTCAGGTCCGGTCAATGTGCCCTTTCAGTCACTGGAGCACATCCCGGGAGTAAATACCTTCCATGTTGTGATTGGTTAAAGTAAAAACAGAGAAGCAAAAGGGTGATTGTTGTTGTCAGGGCCCGTCGAGTCGGCTCCGACGCACAGCAACCCCTTGTCCAGCGGAACGAAACCCTGCCCGTCCTGGGCCAGCCGCACGGTCCTGGCTGTGCCCGAGCCCAGCGCTGCGGCCGCTGTGTCCATCCGTCTCGTTGAGGGGCTCCCCTGCTTCGCTGAGCCTCCACCTCACCAAGCCTGACGTCCTTCTCCAGGGACTGGGCCTGCTGACAACACGACCAAACATTTGGGACCAAACTCAAAACTGTGCCTGGGTCACCTTGTCTTTTCTGTTTTCTGAACTAGGTGTCTCGGCTCAGGGAGCTCGAGTCTGTCCTGTGCTGGTTTCCTGGCCACCTTTAGTCTGCGGCTTGTTTACAGTGTTCTGGTTCCCTAGTGCCACTCTGGTGGGAATATACCACAATGGGATACCTTAACAAACAGGAGTTTATTGTCTTACAGTTTGGAGGCTTTAAATCTGAGTTCAAAGTGCCAGGCGCTAGGGGCTGGGTGAAAGCCCCTCGACTTGGGCTTCAGCTCTGCCTCCTGCTCCTGGCCCACTGGAGCTAAAGGCGTATTTTTTTCCTAATTGTGATTTGGGTGAAAGTTTACAGAGCAAATTCACTTTCCACACAGCGGTTCATACCCACATTGTCTCACGACATTGACTGCAGTTTACTCCAATGCACCAGCTCCCCTCCCACTTCCTCCCAACAGTCACCTCTTCCCTGTGTCCTTCCCTCCATGCACTCCTGCCCCCTGAGCTGCCTCCCTGTGCACACACAGCCCTCTTCCTCCCATGATTGTTCCCTCCGAGGCATGTCTCTACCTCAGGGAAATGTTCAGCTCATATGCCTGTCTTTTGCTTGGCTGGAAGCCACAGGTGTGGGTTCAATTGCAGACCTGAAGGGCAGCTGGGGGCCATAGTCTCAGGGGTTCCACCAGAACTAGAGGCATTTCTTCACTCAGCTGCTGGCTGCTGAGGCTGACACGCCCAAGGTTGACAAGTAATAAGGCACAGTCCCGATGTTACCAACCACGCGACAGGTCATTAACTCAAGTCCATTAAAAGTCCCAAGGTCGGCAGAGCATGGCAGAGCATGGCTGAACAGTGACTTGGCTACATGCAGGGTTAGGTGTGCCATGACCTAGAGACTGTTCCCAAAGCTGCTGCTTATAAATGGGAAGCAGACCACGTCCCTAAAGCAGCTACTGAGCTGCTTGTGGTAGACCCCACCGTGGAGCTGATTGCCAGCCTCATCATGGGGAGTAACTCCCACCAGCTGCCCAGCCACTCAACCAGGCCAGCCAAGATGACACACCACTCTAACCTCCACATGTGGGTTATAAATTAGATCACGTAGATCTTTAACTCGCTTGCTATGCACGTCCACCCTCCATTGGAGCGGCGCGAGCCCTCGGTGCTTTACCTGAAGCCTTCTGTGTATTGCTTGAAGGGTCTGTAAAGCATGACAAAAGGAACTCTGGTGGCCCAGTGCGCAAGGCACTTGGCTGCTAACCAGAGGGTCAGCAGTTCAAGCCCAGCAGCTGCTCCCTGGGAGGAAGATGGGGCAATCTGCTTCCGTAAACATTTATAGCCTTGGAAACCCAAAGGGCTCACTAGGAGTCGGAATCAACTCAATGGCAGTAGGTTTGTTTTTTTGGGGGGGTTTATAAAGCTTGACAGATAAGTTGGCCGTTGTTTCTTTTGTTTTGTTTTTGTCATGTGTAGGCATGTGACCCAAGGTGGACCCAGAGGGACCTGTCTTCCTGGATCTTACAGTGTTTTTGTTGAAGGTTGTTGACACAGCAGCTTAGTTTCCCGTTAAAAGTTTCTGCACACATTGTTCAGTGGCGCTGGGTGACGCTGTGGTTGTTGTCGTGCCCTCACGGTGGGAGATTGCTGGTCCCACACAGCAAGGCTCCTGCAGAGGTCTCTGCTGCAGGCCGGCTTCGTGCTTGGAGTCCTGGTTGCAGGGCATCAACAATTCCATGTGCCTCAGGCGCGTCACGGCATCCAGCATAAGGGGTCTTTCTTTGTTTAAATTTTCATTGTGATTTGGATGCAAGTTGACAGAGCAGATTCATTTTCCACACAGCAGTTCATACACATTTTGTGTCGTGACATTAACTGCAACTCCCCAGCAGGTAACAGCTCTCTTCCCATTTCCTTCCTGTGGTCACCTCTTCCCTGTGTCCTCCTTTCCTATGCATTCCTGCCCTCCCCCCCAGCTGTCTCCCTGTGCAAACACTGCCCTTCTGTTCTCCCATGATTGATCGCTCCA